CCTTTTGTATTTATTGTTTACTTTCCATTTGTAAGAGGTGCATGGCGAGTACTACTTCACGAGTAAAAAATGCTGAGGCCACCAAGTTGTAGATATTGCATTTTAAACAAATATTATGATATGCTGGCTTATTACAGGGACATGGAAATCAGAGCCGCACCACAACTTCCGTGAGTAGTATAATGATAGAGGTTCAGCCTGTAGTGGAACAGCAGAGAAGACACACCTCAGCAAACTTGCTTGCATCTCTTTGCCTTTTACAACATGCCATGAAATCAAATAGTCCCAAAGTTGCATAGCTCTATCTTTTAGGCTATTGCTTTGTTTAACCATCTAATAAAGTGACTCGCATACTGAAGCCATTGGCTGTTTTAATGGTTAATCTTGGACTCGGTCATTAACTGAGTCAACTGCTGATAAGGCATGCATCAGAAACTATTTTCGACAGCAGCCCGGCTGCGAGGCTAATGAAAACAGGAAGTATTTGTCTGAAGTGAACTGACTGCATACCCTTAAATGACCAAAACAAAACTTGCTTGATGATTAAAGTGGTCACGACGATGGCATAATTTCTCGACAATCACCAAATCAGAAATACGATAATGTAGTCACAAATGGATCCATCACAATCAGTGCTTTCTAACGAGAAAAAGCCGGTCTGAAAAAGTCTCCTTACCACCCATTTCTGAATTTGTTGGCCAGATTCAGTGTCTCGGCCGAATAGGCATGGTTTTTAAAGCGCATTGGGATGCCGTGAGGGAAATATTTTTAGACTATCCTCGCCGCGTGCAGCTAGAACAGAGGCCGGGCGGCGGCGCGTACATACGGTGTAAAGCGGAACGATGCAAAAACGGAGCTTACCAAAAACACGTCGATGGAGAATTCTTCGAGAGCTACGAAAGAGGCAAAAATAGAGGCCAGAATTTCAACGGCGATGCGCCACTCGGCTACTGCAGTTCGCGAAGACAACGCGGCGATGGTCGACGGATGGCAGAGGAACTGCGTGTGCACGGCCAGTCAGATCAGAGGCGAACGAAGGCGACGAGTCTTCGCGGCTGCTGCATAAAACCGCGATGACGGTGAAGACTCACAGCAGCTGATCCTCAGCACTGGCCTCATTCACGTTGCCAAGAGCTTGAATGACGGTTCACATAGCATCCCACTTCTACACAGGTGTTGGCTAGATATGGTTTCCATTTTTCTATTTTCGTTTCGATGAATTTGAGGGTGAACGCGAAGGCGGGACTGAGGTAGCAGAGTGCGTTCATTCTGTACAAAGCTTCACACGTCAATTCGAAACTGCCCCCCCCCCCACACACACACTTTGATTTTTGGTCAGCCCCGCAGATGCCAAATGCTGCCACATTCTCTCCTAAACTCAGTCAGATCCGAAACGCTACATGATTCTGGTTCTTCTGCAATGGCTCCACCGGTTCGGCTTTCATGGCAATCATCGAAACCCGATTAAGCTTCCTACTTTCAAGAAATGACTATTTTTAGGTACTTCCATTCTAACAGACTGACTACTTGTCGTGTAAGTTCGAAGTGGCAAAAAAATGGACAACACCTGAGAAATTGACACAGCTGTCGTGAAATAAGCATCGTGCAAAGCTGATTCATTTTGGGAAAACACACCCGAGGCCTATTTGCTGGAAGTGTTTTATCCCACAGCTTCAACACCTCCGGTTGCAATACTCTGGAGGAACGAAGAGCATTTTCCTAATATGTTTGTTTGTAAAACACGTGGTACATCTCTGCTATTTCTTGATATTAACAGTAAGGAGTGTCTTAGTCTTGTTCCTTAGGCAATGTCTACATTGCATATTGATTGTGATTAGAGCGTGCAGCTATCTGCTTATATCTAAAGCAAAGTATTTGTCTAAACAAAAAGATAAAAGACGAATGGCCCATCTCAGGGCACAAACCTAATATCTTTTGACTGTTGGTCTGTGCTTTACCAAAGGAGCCACTTTATCTTAAGATGGAGGCGGAGTCACGTGCTTTTGATCATTACCTCTTGGAGCAAATGTGAAGGGAAGCATCGAAAATGCCTCAGCATGCATCCACCGTATGCGCTTGTTTTCTGGAGTTGTTCACAATAAAAAATACAAAATTCTGTGCTTCTTTCGTTCCCACGGTCTAATACCCTTAACGAAATTGAAATTTCCTGTACTTCCCTCGATACCGTCTTATTTTAAGCATGTTCTTGATAACTGATACATTACTAAAGGCCTTCGAACGTTAAAGTTTAGATGAAGTCGCAGTCTCAGTGTTTCCTAAGTCCGTGTTTCAAATCGGTACGAAACACCATGACGTATTTCGTATATCCTTGACTTCGAGAAGAACGACAGTAAAGCTTACATTAATCCTGATGAGAAACGATCATTCTAAGGATTTACTTAAATTTGAGCTGATCTTTCCCCATGTAAATTTGATTTTCATTCCTCGTTTGACATTGCATTCTAGCCGCTTAACAGTTGATGAATTTTATTCTCTACAGCAATAAGCGTGCCCAAGCTTAGTAACCCACGCTCTATTCGAACGGGACACAGACCCCTACCTTTAAAGGTTAAAAATTTTCATATTTTCATACCATATTATCGGTTCGAACGCCGGAGTGTATTAAGTGACTCCTCTAGGACCGATTTCACGGCGTCTTCTGCTGTCCCTTGCTCCTACATGTTAAGCGGGTTACTGGAAAAACTTGACAACATTTGCACGGCCTGCCTGCTCTGGACGAATGACATCTTACGAAGATGTTCAGGTTAGAGCAATGAAAAAAGAAAGGGGACCTTTAATTAGGTCAAGACTGATGGAAATATCATAGTGTGTAAGTTGCCAGCAGTAGAGCAGCAGAGCAAATGAACACGCATCAACGGAACCATGCCCCCTGCTGAAGATGGTTTAAGTGTCCACTGGTTTCAGGGGCCCAAACGGAAACACGGGAAACTTTGATGACTACGACTACTTGTTCAAACTTGTGAATCGACCAAAGAGAGACGAGCGATGGACACCGGTGTTTACGCATGGCGGACCTTTTCTTTCCGTTCGGCGGCAGTAAAATTCGAATTCGAATGATTTCTTTTCCATTGCCGATAAGACATTTTGAATGGCACGTGTGGCGGCGACCAGCGTGCTGAATTGCACAACCTCTCACTCGTGAGTTCGTCGTCGAACTACGGCAAAGAGTTGGTCAGCCGATTCTTGGACGAGAAAACGATCGACGAATGCCAGCGACGGGGAGGCAATGAACGG